CTACAAAATCTAATAATTTACAACAACAATCCCAACAACAACAAAATTTCACTGATACTACTGCAAAAACCAAAACTTCCAAAATTAATAAACAACAATTCTTCTCTAACAATGCTACTATTAAATAGAAAATTCCTGAAATTGATGATAGCCTTTTCTTCTAATCAACTTATATCTCAATTTATTAATTATATATCCTTACAAATTCTATTATTCTTTACTTTTATATTTTATAACTCTATACAATTAAATATACTATATACTCTACATAATAGTTTTCCTATATAAACTTCTATATAGCTAATTATTTTTCTTATAACTTATAATATCATATTATTAAATATACAAATTACCTATAGCTTATTCTTATCCTTAAATTCACTAATTAAATACTTTATTTACTTTTCATTTACTTTCTTCTTTTCGTATTGCTTAAAGAAGTTTTAACTAAACCAACTGTAATGTCATGATATATACCTTAGATTTCCTCTAACCTATTTTAGCAAACCAATTAATGCTAATAATTGATTGCACTATATAGAAAATTAGAGGGTATAATATCACATTGGGTGTCTATTATATAGTAGCACGAATGTAGTTCTGAAATCTTTAATGTAGAATTTCTTTCTATTTTATTAAATAAAGTTTCAACTATGGCATTTACAAAAAAAAAAAAAAAAAAAACTTCTTCTTTTACTTCATTGAGATCTTTAATAAGTCAAGCAAGAACTTCATTTTCTGTGTCTTGTATCTGTACAATATCTGCATCGAGTTGCAAAGGAAGTATATCCAATTCTTATTCTATAGGTTTGATAGAAAAAGTAAGATCGTCAAATATTATATCCAGAAAATAATTATTTAATACATCAACATTTTCTAAATGTTGTATAGATAGAGGTCTGATCTGACGAATAGTATATTCAAATATTCATTGAATATTCGAATATTTGAATAATAATTTTTTCATCAAATTGAATATTCGAATATTTAACTTTTTTACTAAATATTCAATGAATATTCAATGAATATATATATATTTAAATCTAAGTCACAAAAAACATTCACTGAATATTCACTGAATATTTAGTGAATGTTTTTTGTAGCTTAGCTAAATACTATTATACAAATTTATTTTTAAATATTTAAATCATTTTTTAAAATTAAAGAAGTTTTTAATAAACTAATCTCTCTTGGGCTTCTAATTAAAGTTGAAGAAAAAGTTTTTATAATTCTAATAGTATTTAGATCATCCAAATCAGCCTAGTAGATCTCAAGATATTTGGAAGTTATACAAAGTATTATAGTCTATAATATTTTGTATAACTAGCAATTTGTAAATCATTATTTTTGCATCATTGATTCCAAATATCTTAAGATCTACTAGGCCAATTTAGATGATTTAAATACTATTAAAATTATAAAAATCTTTTTTACAACTTTAATTAGAAGCAAATAAAAAATTGGTTTATTAAAAACTTCTTTAATTTTTAAAAAATTATTTTTTAAATTTACTTGATTAATTAAAAATAAATTTTTAATTTTTATTAGTACAATATTAAATTTAATATAAAAAACTTGAATGATCGACGATCTCTCTCTCCTGACCACCTGCGTTTAGGGTTGAGAGTAATTTAGGAAAAACAAAATTAATCTAGTAAAGAGTTCGCTTTTTTTCAAAAACAATACCAGAACAGGGGCAACTGCCCTTGTTCCCAAGAAACGCAAAACTTCTACTATTGAAGCCCGCAAACCAAAAAAATTAAATATATTGACTACTCCAACATGAAAAAACTTACTGCATACAATAAAAAAGGTTCTTGCTCTAAAGAGGAAACTTTAACAACAAACAGTATCCCTAAAACTCCGGTAGACACTGCACAACAGGACGGCAATGATAATAGCACTCCTAGTTGGGAAGAACAAGTATCGCTAGAGAACGAAATAGGTTTCTCCAAAGAAAGTGAGAATCAAAACAACAAACTAGATGCGTCTGATCACGAGACACGTAATGAAAAACTCAACAACAAAGAAGACTCGGTTTCAACAACAACGAAACGCGTAAACCCATATGAGGCATTATTAACTAACTCGAGTTCAAGTAAAGTAAACAAAAGCAAATAAACCCCAAACAGGCCCTGGACAAGTCTCTTTGCTAAAGTCAAAAGAGAACAATCAACCTTTTCCTCTTTCTCACCAAGAAATAATATAAAATCAAGAAATGATAATGCTCTTATTCTAGATATCAAATATCTTACTGGCTCACTAAACGAAATTATGGTTTCACTTCACGAAACTGCAGGAAGTGATATAATAGCAGCTAAGCCACACATCAACAAGGGTGCATGCACACACCTAGAATTAGTTTTCTCAAGCAATGAGAAACTAAAGCGTTATGCTTCTGAAGGGATACAAATCTTTAACAGAACATACTTTGGTTACATCCCTTCTAATGCAAGAAGATCCTTTCTTCCAATCAAAATTAGAAATGTTCCACTAGGCGACAAGAACCTTATCTCAGAGGAAATTAGAAAAGCCTTCGATAACATAGGCAAAATTGCCTCAATCAAACCTCTCTTAATTGAAGGTATACCATATTTAACAGACCAATGGATTATTACATTTGAAACTACAGATGACACAGAGCTTGAAGAAAGAATCCCACGTTTCTACATAATTATGGACAACAAAATTATCACAGAATGGTGCTCAGCCCCAAAACTTTGCTACTTCTGCGATGAAGGAGGGCATATCAAAAAGGAATGTCCTCAATACCTACAAGCAGTTAAACTCCGTCTACAATATAAAGAGTTTACAGCGAACAAGAAGAAAAACAGAACCACCTCTTTTGAAGGAGAAGAAGAAAGAAACAAAACTCTAGAACAAGAGGTTCTCACAGAGGACCTAAATATGGACATGAACCAAACAGAAGAAACTCCTTTACCCAACTCTGAGGAAACTTTAACCAACTCAGAAAAGGTTAGGGAAGAGGAGATAGTAAACCCCACATTGATGGAAGAAGACTCAGAAGTTCCCAACAATGAAACTCTCAGTGATGTGGACAAAGAAAACGATCCTATTGTCAATGCTTCTAATACTACAGTTGTAGAAGCAGAAGAACCTCAAGCTCTAAACTTCCCTCTGGTACTAATTACTAATGAAATTAACTCACAGTCTCGTGGGGCTAATGCTGAAGAGGAATTCACCGTTGTCTCATACAAAAGGAAAAAAGACAAGAAAACTTCTATGAAACAAAAGGTGGAGCCAGTCAGAAAGGCATCATACAGAAATCCTCGTAATGGAGTACAGAACTTCCAGATCTAAATCTGTACCACTACTCAAGTTTTTATGACCAATCATATCAAATTTAAGATGGCAACTCTTAACGTAAAAGGGTTGAACAATCAGCAAAAACAACAAAAGACCTTAACTCTCTTAAAATCATACAAACTAGATCTAATTATATTACAAGAAACAAATTTAAATGACAGAAATACACAAAACTTTCTCCAAAACCAATGGATGTTTGACTCTATTTGGACAAACAAAACAGCGATACTTGCAGGCAACAAAGATATAACCTTCAAGAATATAGAACTAGATTTGAACAACAGAGCAATCTCTACCAACTTCAAATACAAAGAGCTTACTTTTTAAGTCTCCAATATATATGCTCCACCCAGCCCAGGAGACAGGAAACTCTTCTTCGAAAAGTGAACTCCTCAAATTAAAGAAAATGCTATTAATATTATTGGAGGTGACTTTAATACCAACCTATACCCAGAAAGAGATAGGATTAGCGAGGCAGCTCCGCAACGCGACACTACAAAAGAGCAACTGCAAGAGCTTACTAAAAACTTTCTAGAATCCTCTAACCTTGCAAAGATGAAGCCTTTCTATATGTTTTTTCAAAGAACACAAGGCAATCGCACCATGGCTACACACTTGGACTATATTTTTGTTGATGAAAACAATGCACATCTAATCTCAGAAGTCAACACAAAATTTGGAAACTCGGATCACCTACTGGTCGAGTGTATTCTGAACTTTAACCCCAAAGGGGAAAAATCTGCTCTCTGGAGATTTGACAAAAACTGCTTTAAGAACGAAAGACTTAAAAAAGAAGTGCTAGATGAAATCTTAGATATAAAAAATGTGGAAGATTGGGACTTTCACAAAGTTCAAATACAGTCTATAATTAGAGCCTTCAGAAAACCTAGAGCGACAGAGAACAAAATTGCAAAACTAAATAAAAACATCACTCGACTAAAAGAAAGACTAGTACACAACTCGGAAAACAACCATCTACTCTCACAAATCGACACTCTAAATTCAGACCTTCAAGAAGAGTTAACCCAGTTTGCTGAAAAATGGCAAACTCGTTCAAAAGCTCAATGGATTGAACAAGAAGAAAGATCTACAAAGTACTTCTTTGCCAGATACAAAACTAGGAAAGCTTGCTCAGCTTTAAAAGACATCAAAGATCCTGAAACTGCACAACAAACAAAGGAAAATACTCTTCGTTACATAAGAGATAGATATGCAAAAATTTACTAAAAAGAGGACATAGATATTAGCTCAGCAAGGAGAATTACTCAAAACTTGCCACAAGTCTCCTCTACGTTTAACTCAATGTTTACGCAGGAAATCACTTAAGAGAAAATCAGCAATATTATCAGAAGCCTTCCAAACAACAAGGCCCCCGGTACAGACAGACTAACACATGAGTTTTATAAACTCACAGAAGAAACAACAACACCAGTTCTTCATAGGGTCTTTAATTATGCTCTCAGTTCAGGGGTTATGCCAATCTCTTGGTGTAAAAGCTTAATTTCACTAATACCCAAAAAAGCAGAAAACCTCGAAGATATAAATAACTGGAGACCAATATCATTGGTAAATAGCGACGCCAAAATTTTTATGAAAATTCTGGCCAATCGTCTCAACCTGATATGTGAAAAAATAGTTCCGCATCAACAACATGGATTCATTAAAAACAGGTCTATCACTGACGCAGCTCTTGATATTATTACTACTATGAGAAACCAAGCAGATTCTTCTAAACAGCATTGGTTACTTTTTATTGATCAGCAAAAAGCATTGATCGCATAAGCCATAACTTTTTAGAACTTACTCTAAAGAATATGAACTTTGATCATAAGTTTATTAGTCTAGTACACAACCTTTTTTCCAACCAAGAAGCTCACATTATAGACGCTGGTGCTATCTCTAAACCACTTAGAGTAGAAAGAGGTGTTAGACAGGAGGATCCTCTCTCTCCACTTCTCTATATACTAGCTTTTAAGCCTCTCATAAGGAACTTAGAAGAACAATTACAGGGCATAAAGCTAGGAAACCAATTCTTCAAAACCTCTGCTTATGCGGATGATTTGACAATTGGAATTGGATCTCCTACAGACTGGAACAAAACTCTAGCTGCACTAAGCCTATATGAGGCTGCTTCAAATGCGAAAATTAATAAAACGAAAACTAAACTAGTCCCTCTTACCACTATTGCCCGACGAGTAGAACTCAGCAACAAAAATCAATTCGTCAAATTAGAGAAACAAGGAACTATCACTATCTTGGGTTACAACATCCTTACTAATGGCCAATCGAAAAAAGACCTCTGGACCACTACCATCAACAAGCTAAAAAAAGCTCTCGATAAACTCCTAAACAGAAACCTCTCCTTCAAAGGGAAAATCTTAATAGCAAAGTCTCTTATCTTATCCAAAATCTGGTACTCAGCATATCTGCTACCTCCAAGCAGAAAGCAAGTTGCAGAAATAAACAGAATTATAACTCTCTAGATCAAAGGTACATCACGGATGCTCCCCAGATACTCTACCTTCTAGCAATCCACAGAACTAGCAGGGCTTCAAGCTCCAGTTATCAAAGACATGCTAGATGCCCGTTTAATCACAGTTTGGATGAGACTTCTTACATCCAACTCTATGTGGGCAACATATGAAAGAAATAGAATTCACTATATACTTGGTGAGAAAAGGAATATCTCTCCTACTCAGGCTCTAAACTCTGGCAATACAAGCACAAAAGCTTGGCCCACAGAATGGAAACCATATCTAAAGGCCTGGACAAGAATTAAAGGCAGGGTCCCCCCTACCTCCAACTGGCCGTGGAATAGTAATGAATTAAGAATTGAAGGAAGCAAAGGAGACGAACTTTCAGTCAAAAAAATTTTAGAACTATTAAAAGAATCTTCTCTTTTACCAGCTACTCTACAAACTTCTCCGCAGGCACCACAACACATATGGCTCTCGCTGAAGTCGATTTGTAACAAGAAAAAAGATATTTTCTGACGTCTTTTTCACAGAGCGCTCCCACTAGGATATCGATTAAAACACGTTGGTCCATCAGAGACAGGGAACTGTATCTGGTGCCTGGACAAACTACAAACTATTGAGCACTTCGCTTTAGAATGCCCTAGAAATATAATAATCTGGAAAAAAGCGTACAGTTTCCTTAACGTCAATGAGGAAATAGCAATACCATCCTCGCTAGAGGACATCTTTCAAGGTAATAATAACACTTGTCCTCAAGCTTGAATAGCTTTGACCTGGCTACATATTATTACAGTCTATGAGATATAGTGTCAATACACCTCGGCAAAATGGGAAAGTTCAGATACACCTCTTAACTCTCTAAGCTCCTTTGTTAGAAATCGTATTTCAAAAAAAATACAAATTCTAAAAAACAACCCCTTTAGCACTAGATCTAAATCTTTCAAACTAATATGTAAATATCTAAAAAGTAACTAAGCCTTTTATAATATTTTAATAAAAGAGCGCCACCTGTGCCCCTAGTTGTGGTTACAACAGGGATACTCAAAAAAAAAAAAAATATAAAAAACTTATCTTGTTTTATAGATTAGCAATTTGTAAAGTGTAGAATAAAAAATAAGATTCAATAAAAAATCTTATTTTTAATATAAAGTTAAAATTATTATAATATAATATTTATTAAATATTCAGTGAATATTCAAATATTTATTTAAAACAAAAATACATAATGGAACTCTTTCTGACGATCCTCTGGTCAACAACAACAAAAATTGAACTACAGCAAAACGTATAGAAAAGTGACGAAGTGGATACTAAAACTTGGTTCTATAAATAGGAGCAGCTTGTTGTCAACAAAGTCTAAGCATCTAGACGTGAAATACTGAGGAGCAGGCGTCAAAAGAATACGGACGGTTTTCTTTGGGGTTAAGTTTCTTCTGGCAGACTCCCCAAAGTATTTGGCATCCAAACCAAAAGGTTTATTCTGGGAACAAGTCTGTAGAAGTAGCCAACGTGCACTTCTAAGTAGTAGAAATGGAGAAGCTAGACTATACAACTGTAACTCTTACAAGAAGAACCTTACATACTCTCGTTGGCCACCACTTTTTTTCGAGGAAATTTTTGTAAAAAGTGGGCATTTTAGCTTACTCCTCCAAATGATCGACATTACATGTACCAAATAAGTCAGCATTGTTTATTTCCTAAATCAAAATATGACAACAAACACGTGAATACACGTGCCTTGAATGCAATGGATATCTGTACAAATGATGCTTCGAGACTCTGTTCTAACCTCTCTACCTTAAGCCGGTCGATGAAGTTTTCCTATCGGGTTTTTACTTTCGCATACTAGTTTAGAGAAAAATAGAAGTAGAAACTAATTTGTTTAGTCAGTATGTAATTTTTCAAAGCTACCCACAGGCTTATAACTGTGGCATTAAGTTTAGCAAATTTTCTGTTTTGTTTTTGTTTTTCGATATTCTCTTTACTCTCTTTTCTTTCGTTTTTTGTATTCTTTTATCATAGTCCCCTATACCTCTGTGTTTTTTTTTAGTTTGTTTGTTTTTTCTGATTTTGCTTCTTGATGAGCGGATAGCTGCCAGCCGATGAACAACGGGAAAAAAGTCCTTAGTGAGTTAAGGACTCTGAGGGAGGCCAAGAGCTACTGAGGCAGGTCGCACCTGATGTCTTCGTTTGGTTGGATCTACTATAGTTAGAGATTAATTACTTGTAAGTTTTACATATAATTTTGAATAACTTGACCCCAAATAAACAAGGGCAGGATAGCCGAATTAGAAAAAAAGAAAAAAAAATATTCATTTAAAATTTTTAATAAATATTCGAATATTAAAAAGATTAAACAAATGAATATTTGAATACAAATTTTTTGTCCAAATCAAACCTCTATGTGTAGGCAGGTCCGGTTCTGTTTCTGGTATATATTGTAATAACGTAATGATATCAGTTCTATTATGTACTACAATAGAATTTCTAGTTATAATTAAACTATTGTTTATGGCAAGAGGTCCTGGTTCCATAGTATAAGAAAATTATTTAAAGCATCATAGTCTGGGGCTATAATTGTTGTAAGGTGGGAGTTTTCATTTTTAAAATATAGGGTGAAGAATTACTAAATTAGAGAATAGGAATTTAGATGCAAGAGAGTATCTATTTATAAAATTTTATAGTAATACAAATATAATTAAGGGATTTTTGAAATGTTTGCTTGTGTATCCCATATAGAGCATCTTTGTCTTCTATAATTCAGTCTGATGATATACCAAATTAGGACAATGCAGATCACTCCTTTTATGGTATAGAAATGATGATCGGAAAATTCCAGACTCTCTAAGATAGCTTTTTTGTGATTGGTTAATTTTTATGTCTAGAATACTTTTATTACTGTATTACATATTACTGCATAAATTTTTTTAACCGTCGTTCATAATTTACTGATCTTTGCAACGAACAACGAAACTTTAAGTATTTTGGGTATTTCAGAGATTCGCTTTAGCCAGGTATACTTATTTAGTAAAAGTTTTTTAAGTTAAAAAAGTTCCTTAATTATAGAATTAACATACAGAAAACATAGCTAACCGGTTGAAGTAATTGTAATTTCATAATAATATTAAGTCAAAATAGATTAAAGATCATGAACACTCGAAGCTTAACTTAGACTTAAAGAAACATTCGGTAAGTAGCCTACATTCGGGATCTTGAAATTTGTAGGTTGAGATGAGGTTTTTAGTGTTTTAAGGGCTATAAGAATGTAATAAAGCTTATGATTATTATTTTTTTTTTAAATATATAGGCTTTATTTCATTTACTCGAGGTTCATATTTCAGTACTTAGGGCAACTTATCGTGTATTATGGGTGATTATGGCTCCATCGTTTGATAAAAAAAACTATGATCGTATTTAGCGATAGATATCAGTATATAATAATTTTATTGAAATGTATTAAATTATTTTAATAATTTATAACTTATAAATTGTGGTGTATTATATTTATTTTAATTAAAAAAATAAATAATAAAATTACAATTTAAGAATGATAATTTGATCAATTTAAGAATAATAAAAAATACATGACTAATTACAGAATTATGAAGTTCACCCTTCGATTTCAATTCATAAATTACTTAAAGCACAAGTAAATTGCAAAAATGTTACAAATCTTGCCGTATTACTTCAAATGAGCACGATCTTTATTTTATCCATTCTATTCTGTAATATCACAATCTTGGTTAACTTTATTATTTGCAGTAAATAAATGCTTTACCTCTTGCAAAATAATCAACAATTCTGCTTTTCTTTTCGACCTTAATCCGGAATATTTTTTTCGAGAATTTTCACCAAGTAGCTCAAGAAGTGTTTCGATCTTTAATAAAATTTGAAGAACAGTCATGTTTTCGTCACGTTCCTGTGCTTTAGCTTCTTGATTCGTGATAGATATTTGCCTAAATGAAGATAAATTACTTTTGTTAATAAATACTTCAATAATGAAATTCTTTCATGCTTCTTTTGCCAAAGATGTAAAATTTTCAAGATCTTTATTCAAATCATATTCTTCTAGATCTTGATTTACAAAATCAAGGCTTCGTAAATGAGTCCGAAATCTTCAACATTCTACTGTTGATTCCGGCCGAGTTCTTAGTCCAGATGTTTGACGATCATTGTATCCGATTACTTGAAACAAATTGCTTCTAAGCTAAAAATTAATATTAATTAATAATAATACAATTATACCTATAGTTAGTTAATTTAATTAAAATATTACCTTGATAAACTTTTTACAATTACGCGCGGCAATTTTCTAGTAATGATGTTGTGGAACGGGAGGTATTAAGGTTTTTAAGGTTTTGTTTACCTCTTCCAGGATTGCGTCTAATCCTTGGTGTTGTTCAAAAATACCTGACCTGGAAATAACACAGCTTTTTTCTATAATATTACGTATTACTGGATCAAGCTGTATTAGTTGAATTTCATCAAAGGCTTCTATGAGGCAATAGATAGGATGGCGTCTCGCAGACCAGATTGGTGAAAAAATTCGCCTAGCAGCTTTTTTTAAAAGAGAATTGTTAGTTCTTATGGCCTTCCGATAATTGATTATAGATTGAAGATAAACAAACGTCTATTACAGTATTAAATTATGATTAAAAAAAATTAATATCAAAATCCCAAAAAAAAAAAAAAAAAGATAATAAAAAAAGATAATAATTAATAACCTGTTCATATTTAATTCGATAAAGTGAATCCTGCTGTTAAGCCCAAGAAATATATCCTTTAACCAACAAGTCCGAATGGCTCTTTACATACGGCCACATGAGCTCCATAGAAATCGAATGACGATAGATGTTACAGATAGAATCCCAAGACTTATGATGGTCCGCACATTTTTTGAAATAGGCAAGCTGATTTTCTGTCTGGTAGCCCTGACATTTTGCGAATCGTTTTATGTCAATTTCCCTAGCAAATAAAAAAAAAAAAATTAAAGTTAATAACGATATCAAATTAGACATAATTCACCAGACCTTTAACCTAAATAAGTTAGCGTAACTAGAGTTTGGAACCGGATTTCGCTTTTCGATTCGTATTTAATTTAATTAATAAAAATATGCATTGAAATTTAATCCGAATTTATTCGATAATATTCGATTGTGCATATATACATACATATATACACTTGGTGACAAAAACATCCGATCACTTAAGAACGAACCTATTTATCATTATAGAAATTCTATTGGTGGTAGAATACTTTTGTTCTTTATGAGTTTGTGCAGATAATGTGAGTATTGCAGATTCAAATATTGGTTTTATATCCGAATTTAAATCCGATCCGAAGGAAATCGGATTTAAATTCGAAGGTCGAATTCGGTTCCAAACTCTAAGTGTAACAATTCTATAAAATGCCTTACCAATTCAATTCCACAAATGCCCGAAGCATATTCATCTCTTCATGAAGTTGTCCCGGTATAAGAACCAGCCAAGGAAACTTTTCTTTAAGTTTGATGGCATGATGATATGGAACGCCATCGCAAACTACGACCATCCACTTACGAATTCTGGATTTAATACCTGAAATCGTTTCTATGTGTGAAAGAACTTTTTCGATATTCGCGATGAAGTTGGGATTAATGTTCATTGGGTCAGGAATGTAAATCTCGGGAATATTAACTCTTGGATCGGTAACTTGTTGGGTGAAGCTAATTTTTGGAACACTTGTAATGTTTTGCTCATCATCAACACTATATGGTTTAAAA